CAGCAAAATAAACAACCCAACTAAAGAATAGGCAAAGGACTTGAATAGACATTTTGGCTAACAAGTATATGAATAGGTGCTCAACCCCACTAGCCATCAAAAAATAGCAAATAAAAACCACAATGACCTCACACTTGTCAGAATGGCTGTTACAAAAAAGACAAGGGATAACATGTTGGTGAGAGTGATGAAAAGGTGGGAATGTAAATTGGTACAACCATTCTGGAAAAAGGCATGGCAGTTTCTCAAAAAGTTGAAACCAGAACTATCATGTGATCTAGCAGCCCCACTTCTAGGTATGACACCCAAGGGGAATGAGCATCTCCATGTTCACTGAAGGTTTAGTCACAATAGCCAAGGTATGGAAAGAGTCCACTTGTCCTTCTAAAAATAAATAAAGAAAATGGGAAAAAAACCTTCCAGTCATTAAAAAAAAAAGGAGGAAATCCTGCCATGTGAGACAACGTGGATGAGCTGGAGGACATCAAGCTAAGTGAGAGAAGCCAGCACGGAAAGACAAGTACTATATGACCCCACTTACATGCAGAAGCTTAACGGTGGATGCCATGGACTGGGAGGTGGGGAAAGTGAGGAGACACTGGCCAAGGCGTGATGAGCGAACAGCATGGTGACTGTAGTTAGCAACACAATACTGTATACTTGAGATTTGCTAAGAGGGTAGATCGTAAGTGTTTTTACAACACACACACACAAATACCTATATGAAGTATGTGTTAATTCCCTTGACTGTGGTGCCCATATTTCACAATGTATGTGTGGATCAAAACATCATGTAGTACACCTTAAACATACACAAATTTTATCTGTCAATTAGATTTCAGTAAAGCTAGAAAAATCAATAAGTACCGCAAATGACGTTTTTAAAATGGCAAAGATTTACCATCTACACCATTAGTAACAGTGAATATAGTAGACCCAACTTTCTAGCCTTTAACCACGTTAAATCAAGTAAAATTAACCAGACTTGCATGCAATTTGTTCATTATGTTAACTGAGGTATGTATTATTTCTATCTTATGCAATCTTTGAGTATTTTCAATTTGCTGTACGGTCCAAGATTTCAAAATTTCACTTCATTGAGAAAAAAGAAAAAAAGACACAACATTTAGTGAAGCGAAGTAATTGAAGCTTACTGCTCTAATACAGAAAACAAATTAAGAAAATAAAATTGAAAGAGAGGTTAAAGCTCAGATTAACTGACACAAAGCAAACATTTTCTAAGGGATGTGAGTATCATCTGTAGTTTAAGTTTAGAACTAATTCGAAACGTTGAAAGAGTACATCAAATCAGTTTACCTCACTGTCCTCCTTCAGATCTGATCTGGCCAAAATTCCTCTTCCTAAATGTTTAGGTACACCTGGCTCTATGAGAGGATCAGTTTTCAC